TGTTCTGATATGGGGAAAGGTTCTCCATCGATTGGGTTCGAGTCTGAATTCCTTTCTCTCATGGGAAAATTTGATATTTTGGYTACTTGCTAGTTCAGGTAACCGTAAKTCAACTCTTCTAAAGAGAATTGCTGCTCAAGRYACCATCTATGGGTTATGGAGAGAACGAAATAGTAGGTTCCATAACGAAACCTCTCTCACTGCAGACTGCATTTTCAGGCAAATTGATAGATCAATCCAAGATACTCTCCTAGCAAGATGCTGGCGCAAGGGATGTAGTAATCTTCTTCTTCAATGGTCTAGGTTTAGCTAATTGAATGATTTGCTTTGTTGCTCTTGGTTAACTTCCTCTTGGTTTTTTACTCTCTTTTTTGGGCCAAAGAAGTTTTAGGTTTATTAGCTCTTGTATTTGACTTTCCTTTTGGTAATAATATTCACATTTTATCAAAAAAAAAAAATATGTGCTTCCGCATATGCAGGGTGAGACGATCACTAGTTGTGAATGCCACCTCCTCTACCTGAGCTTTGATGCTAAAGAAATCGATGAATTTTTTTATCAGACGTTGAGGCAGAAGAGGAATGTAAAATGTGCAGTAGAAGCTCAACCTAATATACTCTTCGTTCAGACAGTTACTGTTCTTGCACCAAAGACCTATTTGATTGTCAATCCACTTCCGAGTGGCACGACTTAATAAAAGACATACATATAGAATTCTAATGAAGACGTCACTACATAACATATTCATAAGCACGTTAAAGGTAATTTGTATCACACCCTCGTTATAGTGGATTGGCTTCGGCCTTATCTTTAGGCAGTATTCCATCAGGTTATGTGCATGTACGTACTCAGACCACCTGCGAACTATGAATTTCGTGTCCAGCAGTTGATGACACGCACCCGGTTTATATTCACCCTCATATTCGGAACTCCTGGCGCATCTGTACTCCACTGTCTTCATTTCCCTGTAACGGAGGATCCGGTTAAGTATGTCGTCGAACCAGTTTTTGTGTAGATCGTCCACATCGTCCTTCATCTTCCTCAATCTGACCAAAGTCCAGTCAGATAGACAGAACATGATAAGAGCAATGGAATCAAGAGCTACTCCACCTATAAGCAATGCGTAAGTAAGAGAGACGTCAAATCCACCATATTGGTCCTTGTTCTTATATTGGAAGATGTGGAGGGCTGCTATAAGACATCCAAGGGCAATGAACCTGAAGATGACTCCTATCCAGTTATGCAAAATCTCTGCTTTTGTGAACAGAGCTTCATAGATGAAGTTGAGCTCAACCTCTAATATTTGTAGAGCTTCATTTGCTTCCAGTGAGCTAAAGAATCTCTTGCTCTCGGCTCGTTGTTGAAATGTAAAGATGAGATCAACCACAAGACCTTTGAAGATGTTGAAATACTTGTACGCGAACTGTAGAATATTGAGTTGAGTGAAGATCTCAGACCTTACCTCATCACCAGATTTTGGATCTATCTCAGGGTCGTCAATCATGATGATCTGTGTAGGCATATTCATATCGTTTTTAGCCGCGTATACCTCCACGAGTTTCGCGTAGTTTGGTCCAGGATCAGGCTGCCGAATCATGGAATCCTTGAACTTGTCAAGACTCGCTAGGTACAAAGCTAATGTCCTCTCAACATACTTGATCACTCCAGCCGCAAACACAAGCAAAATGGGTATCCAAAGAGCATTAGGTAACGACTGAAGAAGCACATAGACGGTTGCAATTGCTTGAAAGGCAAGACCCAACAAGTGTCTGAGCCAAATCTCATTGTCTTCAAGGGCAAGAGCAATGATTGTGTCTGAACCACCAAGGTGAAAGAGCAAGAAAGGGACCCAAAAAGCTAATAGCTCGCCCTTCTTGGCCGGATCGCCGGGCTCTGG